TCACCGCACCGTAGAGAAAACAATTTCGGGCGGATGTATACAAGCGCGCCGCCGGCGATATCGCGATCCCCTAACTCAAACAACATTTATCAAAGCCGCGCCGTCCGCCCGCCGTATACTAACGCGCCCGACAGAGCTACATCGCAGCTCCGAGACAATGAAAATTCACGCGTTGTCGAAAACCAACGTCAGAATAAATGGTGTAGGTATTGTAAGAACTCAGGCCACGAAATTGAAGAGTGCTGGAAGAGGCAGTACTATAACAAACGCCGGTCCTTTCAAAATGCAGAAGCAAAAGAAGCAAAAAGAAAACTACACAAAAATGCTAGGAGATCCGGACCTAAAATGTATCACAGGGTCGGACAAATTTAACAAACTACGCACCAAATACTATGACTACATATTTTACGAAACTATACCTCCTAGAAGAAAAATATGTGGAGATTGCTTTGATCCAACAAAAAAAGGCGCAGAAAATTTCAAAAAACTACCTCTTCCATATTGGCATAGTCACGCAATTGTAAATGAAAATAATATAGATAAAAAAATTAAATGTACAAAATGTCATAAGATACTTTTAGAATTAAAAAAACTATTAGACTGTGTAAAATGTATTCGAAGCTATATTAGAAAAAAAACCAATCACAGAGGAAATATACTTATTGAACATGTAACATATGAAATAAATAAATACTCAATAATACCCAAAACAGTAATTACCCAATAGAATAAACAAATAAATAATATAAAAAAAAAACAAGACAAACATAAAAGAAAACAAAAAAGGAAAAAGACAATCAACAAGGACGTAACAGCGTGTTAAGCGAGATCATTCTCGACCTCAATTCTAATTGAGAATCTCTGTGCGATGTCGCCGAAACACCGTCATTGTTCAGGTCGAAAACAGTCTTTAAAAACTATTTAATAAACTAAATAACAGACTTCCGCGACATCTACAAAACTTACTTGACGTCGACTCAGTGTATGACAAAAATTACGAACAATTGTTCAGCGGAAATTTCTGGTCGCCGAAACCGCCTCTTGCGTGGAAGTTGATTCCTATCTCTTTCCGTACATCGAGATTGCTGCCATTGAGGATGCTTGAGAACGACTCAAGGAAGAAGAGGTATCAGGAGCGAAATCCTATACAATTTCTACTAAAGGTAGGAATTTAATTACCGCATATACTTGAATTACAAAATAGATAAAAGGATTGTGTAAAGGACAGTTAGAAAGACCGCGAAAACCTGAAACGTCCCCTGCCGCGATTTATATGCATCGCATAATCTCAGCTGTTGCATTACCGAATTTGGTTACGGATTATTCGGAATTGCTAGTGACTATAACAACGCTGGACTCCTGTGCAATCAATGCAAAACAGAATACGAACGCGTTCATCCTGAACAACAGTTTCAGTTGATATTGAGACATTACATTCATATTGGAAATAGTAGTCGCGAAAGTGCGAGCATTGCCCCACCGAGTTATCCATTTGTCGAGAATTGAACACTTGCGATGCGTGCATAGACATTTTTGCAATCTTCTTAAATCATTTATGCGAAGAAAACCAAACATTCGAATCATTATCAGACCCTACGATCGTAGATCGACAATAGCATCAGAACGCATGAGATTATCTTCTCAAGAAGACTCAGCTTTTTTTGGATAACTTGCATAGAAGAAATACAAGCCTAAATAATTAGAATCTCTCCAATCGATATGACGAGATCTTTGTTCGAGGTCTCCGTCGCTCGTTCAATAAATAAATCGCTGCAAAGGACCGAAACCCTTGCCGTTCGGGGTTTCCGTTGTTTCCGAAATTGAAAAATTTTACCCGAGAAATTCCCCCATTCAGCCCGGTGCGAACGCGATTCGGTTAACTAATCAGTTTCGCCCAGACGTAACACAACGCGAATCAATCGTGGTCCCAGCGCGTTCCCGCGACCTACTATGTGAATAGCAAATCCTAGCGTGCGAATAAGCTACATTCGCATCGCGTCGGAGCCGGAAATATATCTAGGCGAAACAATTGTAACGCGACGGTAAAGCCTATCTTCACATTATTAACACGGGAACCGATCGCGAAGTTATAATATCTATGGTAGAGCTACAGGATATCGAATTCTTGTTCAACAAACGCGTAGAGGAAGTTAGATCCGCTGCGCGATCCTCTCAAATTAATTCGGTCGAGTCTACGAATCATAATGATAAAATCGCCAATATCTGAAGAAATTATTTCGTTTAGAGCATCTGAACGAATTTGAAACAAGCCACGTCAGAGGTCTGATAAGAAATAACGCGGATTTATTCCAAATGCCAGGAGATCCTTTAGATTGTGCGAACATATGTTCGCACCACATAACTCGTGATGAGCAATCGTTAAATACTAAGCAATATCATTATCCGCCTATTCACAAGGAAGAGATCACGCGACAAATTATTAGCAAATAATTATCGAAATCTCCATACAATTCCCCCTTGTGAATAGTTCCTAAGAAACCAGACTCCAAAGGCAATAAACAATGGAGAATGGTTATCGATTTCAGAACATTGAATGAAAAAACTATTTGCAGAGGGATGCATACCTCTATCTAACATCGAAAATATATTAGATCAATTAGGAAGCTAAGTATTTCAGTATATTCGACTTGGCGTCCGGTTTCCACCAGATCCCAATGCACGAAACCGACGCTCCAAAAATGGCCTTCTCTACGCCCTACGGGCATTACCATTTCAAGCGCATGCCGTTTGGGCTGAAAAATGTCCCGGCGACATTTCAAAGGCTAATGGACCAAGTGCTGACCGGACTTCAAGGGATAGAGTTGTTTGTATATTTGGACGGATATTGTAATATACGCTCCCTGAAAGAGCACGAAGCTAAGTTTAATAAGCTAGCAGATAGATTGCGAACCGCGAGGCTACGGTTACAATCGGACAAGTGCGAGTTCCTGCGGAAAGAAGTAACATATCTCGGTCATGTAATTACGAAGGATGGGGTAGTCCTGATCCGGAAAAGACAAAAACCGTAGAAAAGTTCCCGCAGCTCACTAATGCCAAAAATATAAAGCAATTTTTAGGCCTTGCTGGCTACCACAGACGATTTATCCCCAATTTCTCTAAAACGGTCAAACCTTTGACTCAACTTTTAAAAAAAGACACGCTATTTCAATGGCAGGATTCGCAGGAGCGCACTTTTGATCAGTTAAAAACAGCTTTATGTACCGAACCATTGTTAAAATATCCCGATTTCACGCGTCCCTTTATTGTCACGACTGATGCCTCTAAAAATGCCGTAGGAGGTATTCTCAGTCAGAGTGAGATAGGAAAGGATTTACCTATAGCTTACACATCGCGAATATTAAATACCGCCGAACAAAATTATTCGACTATCGAAAGGAAACTACTGGCAATCGTATATTGTGTTAACCATTTCCGTCCCTATCTGTATGGCAAAAAATTTAAGCTGATTACCGATCACAAACCCCTGACCTGACTCCACTCAGTGAAAGATCCGACTTCACGATTAATTTGTTGGCATCTAAAGATAGCAGAATATGAATATGAGGTGATTTATAAAGCGGAAAAAATTAACGGCAACGCCGACGCGCTCTCACGTAACCCGGTTCTCCCAGTCCAGCCACAGAAACTCGCGACTCCACATAACGACGACTCAGATGAGTCACTCTACAACTATGTAAACAAAGATAATCCTCAAGGGCCAGGCCGCCCGAGCGTTTGCATTCCATTAGATGATAAGGAGAGCACAAGCCAAGAATCAAGCAATGACTGTGACGAGACGGACATCGACTCCGACAGCGAACCACTGGTACATAATGTTAATGTCCCTTTTGAATTTAAAAAATGATTTTTTAACGAAACTAATAAACGACTGTCACAAAGAAAAGATAACTTAGCAATATTCGTTTCTTAAACCGGCGAGCCTGTAGACAAAGGAACGCATGATCTCAAAGAAAACAAATCTATACCTCCCGATAGGTAGGCCGCTGATAGGAAAAGTAAAAGTAATATCTAACGGAAAACATCATATACTAGCTATGGCAATCGAACAAGGGAAAGGAGTTTCGCTATCAATAGAGATGCAGGATCTCCGAGTCGCCATAGGCTCATTAGTGGACGCGACGCGAGAATTAGGTTCAGCTTTATCAATCTGTAAAAGTAATATAGGCATCATGGAATGGAAGATAATATATAAAATGCTTAGAGACACCTTTTGGAACGAAAATACTAAAATTACGATTTGCAATAATTTGACTAGCATACCTGAAGTTGAAAACCGAGACGCGATAATTAAAGAGTGTCATGCCTCAGTGGGCGGACACAAGAGTATACCAAAACATATAACCGATTAAAAGAGCGATGTTATTGGCCCAGCATGAAACGAGATGTATAAAATATGATAAATAACTGCCGGGAATGCCAGATTAAAAAATTAGTTCGGATTAAGCCAAAACAACCCATGATTCTAACCGATACACCTGATAGAGCGTTCGATAAAATCGCCATGAACATTATGGGCTTACTACCGACAACTTCCACCGGGAATTCATATTTTAACCATCCAGGATTTACTAACGAAATATTCGGTAGTCATCCCCTTAAAAAAAACGCTACTATCGATGTCGCCGAAGCATTTATTAACGAATTTATATGTATCCATGGCGCCTCGAAAGCCTTACTGACAGATCAAGGGTCATACTTCCTTAACAAAGTTTAATACGTAACATCGCGCGAAAATTTCATATAAAACATTACAAGACTATAGCATACCGACCACAATCGAATGGCTCCGTCGAGCGTTCCCATCAAGTACTATGGAAATATTTAAAAAATTTTGTAGACAAACATAGCCAATGGGACCATCTTAAACTAGCGAACCTTTCATATAACACTAGCATACATGAAGAGACTATGTTTACCCCTCACAAATTAGTTTATGGCAGGATAGCAAGAACCCCTACTAATGAAGCGACGCTAGACGATGACAAAAACGAAAACTACACGCGTTACTTGACAAATTTATCCCATAGAATTTCCGAAGCATAAACAATAGCCCGACGTAACCTGATAAATTTGAAAATAAGGTCCAAAAAATATTATGACAGGCGAACAATGCAACGAACCTTCCGAGTAGGCAATCGAGCGTATCTCCTTAAAGAACCCAGAAAAGATAAATTGTCCGATCAATATTCAGGTCCGTATGAAATATTAGAAATACTTAGAAACAACAATGTAAAGATAGCATTGCGACCCGGGAAAACACGTATTGTACATTTAGATAAGTTGAAATGGTCGGGGAATCGGAGTCCCATCCCAGCTGACCCCCATGCGGCAATATCTCGGAACAAGAGGCGCATCACTGAGGTCAGTTATCGACGGAATCTGAAACAAGCAACATGTCGATAATCTTCATCAGCAGCTACTTACCGACATTGGCCTATGGCCTCATGCAATTACGACTGCGGCGGAACGGGACTTAATATCACTACCCTTTCTCTCCTCGATGTAGGAGACTGCGATATAGAAGACATCGAACCATTAAAACACCAGTACACATCCAGCTACTTCAAGCAGAATACGAAACGATTCCCGCATACCAATATAAAGTGAAGATCGATCGAACTATATATTATTGTGGTATGCACTCACACGTGTCAATAGTGATCGAGGGACAGAAGCAGTATATAAAAGAGATAGGAGCACACAACTGCCAGAAAATACATGAGACGGGATCCATGGCCATCGGTATCGCTTTTGTCGACTGATTATTGAACAACGTTACCAATTACCGCAGCGTGATGTTAGCGGGCCAAGCTTTTACCGGCCGCTGCGCAGGAACTCAATATACGAATGGTTATGGAACTTGGGAGGACGTAGTAGTGCAAATAGTGGTGAGATGATCTATATAATAAAGTGCGTACCAATAGAATGTAAACTGCAACACACCGATAATTGCTACAATGAACTTCCAGTAATGTATCGAAATCACTCATTGTACTTACATCTCGCATCCTCTCAAAAACAGACACTTCCAAGGATTGCAACGAATTACTACTAACTTATTCAAAATCAATATCACCTAATACAGGTTAGAAGGTAGCATAACGAAATCACTACTCCCACCAACCATCCAGCCGCTTATCAAGCCTCATGAAAATACAGGAGCCCCAATTGGCGACTAGTGGAATATACACACCTGAGGATCTGGATCGATTCAGGGACCACATCATGTTCCCTGTTGAAAAGCCGTCCATGTTCAACACGATTGCGCGAGGCGCAATGGATCAGGAAGTAACGAAAAGTACAGTAGCAATAATTAACCTATTGGATGAAGCCTCACTGGATGAAGCCTCGGACCAGCGGAAAACACAGGCAAAAGACTCTGGGACAGATTCATCACGTTCGAGTCGGCAAGTGCTAGTGTTTTAGCACTGTTTATCATTGGCAAAGCAATCAAACTGCTGATAGACACGGTCATCCATGGCTATACCTTGCATTCTATTTATGGCTGGAGTATTCACTTAATCGGAGCTATCTGGTCATCGGTAACCCTCCTGCTGTTCCTAAAGAAATCCGATAAAATCGAAACAACGCATGGAGAAGAAGAGCAGAGCAACAAAGAAGCATCCGCGCCGAACTCCCATGAGAAAGACAGTGAAGTGAAGACAGTGCCGGAACAATTATATGCGGAACTACGGAGATATCTCCATTCAAACGAGCATGTATGAATTATACAATATTATTATTAGGGGGACCGAAAAGTAATGTCGTTTCTGCGCATGTCAATATTTGTTTACCATTTATCGGCTCATTGTATACTTCAAAGTCGTGCCAAAGACATTTTAAGGTTAAAATGACTTGTTTACTTGTAAATAATTAAATCTTAAATTTTTTTGCAATTTTGGGTGAAATGACTAGCCAAATACCAAAAGAGGTACATATCCGGCATTGTATGCTTTTTGAGTTTCACAAGGATAATAACGCAACAGTTGCTATCAAAAACATTTGCGATGTTTATCCAAGTGCATTAGATATTCGTAAATGCCAAAGGCGGTTCTCTAAGTTCAGATCCGATAATTTTGATCTTTCCGACTCGTATCGATCAGGAAGATGAACAATTTTAGACAATGACGTGTTAAGGGCGAAAGTGGAAGCAAATCCGTGTCAGACAATCGAAGAACTGTCAAACACTCTTAACCAACCTTGGTCGACCATCCAAGAACATTTGCAGCAGATTGGTAAAGTAAGCAGAGCAGATGTTTGGGTCCTGCATAATCTATCCGAAGAAAACAAAGCTAACCGATCCACCACATGCAACTTATTGCTTCAACGGCACAATACAGAAGCGTTTTTTGATCGCTTGATCACTGGAGATGAAAAATGGGTCCTCTATGATAATCCAAAACATAAAAGGCAGTGGCTCTCTTCGAATGAATCGCCACGAAGTACTGCTAAGCCAGGTTTACATCCCAAAAAGGCGCTTTTGTTTGTTTGGTGTATTCGCGGAATCGTTCATTTTGAAGTGCTAAAACCTGGACAAACTGTGAATGCAGATCTTTACTGTGAACAATTGGATCGAGTAAATCAATCTTTAATTGAAAAGTGTCCAGCGATTGTCAACAGAAAAGGCGTTATTCTGCAACACGATAATGCAAGACCACACTGTGCAAGACAAACCCTGGAAAAAATTAATGAATTGGGTGGGAGGTACTGCCTTACCCACCATACTCGCCCGATATTGCACCATCGGATTTCCATTTATTCCGATCGCTACAACATTTTCTATGTGACAAAAAATTTGAAAATTTGGATGATATCCAAAATGCCATCTCCTGATATTTTGCTCAAAAATCAATTGATTTTTATCAATCCGGCATTGAAAATTTGCACACTAAATAGCAAAAAATTGTTGATAATGAGGGTGATTACATCATTGATTAAAAATAAAAATTTGTTAAAAATTTATTTGTTTGAAGTTAATGTAAAAAAACGACATTACTTTCCGGTCCCTCTAATATCACTATTGTCCTTGTTATTATTATTAAGACTAGCATAAAAATGTATCACTTAACATAAGTACTCTTAAATACTTCCTTTCAGCGTTTAAAATAAGAGAGAGAAATGTTGGGCCCGTGCCCTCCATTTGTAATATAAGGAGGTGGGTGTCACGTGGAAATAAATAACATGATTAATAATCCTTACCACAGAATAAAAATCCTTGTTTTTATTTGTTAATAATAAAGATTCTAGTAAATTCGACGTTTTACGCTCTTCCACGTATTCCGGAAAATTCCGGTAAACTCTGGAAGATTCCGGAAGATTCTGGAAGATTCGAGAAAGTTCGGGAAGATTCCGGAGCGTTCTAGGGCACACGAGGGCCTTCCAAGCAATCCGAGGTTAATCACACCGTCAACCCCACCATGCGCAAGCGCCGCCTAATCCCTACTACAGCGCTGAGCCGCCGACGCAAGTAAGCGTCTTACACGCACCACAGCAGTCAATCTGCGCGTCACTCTCAATCAACGCGGTTCTCTCGCGTCCTCAAACAATCTTAGAGTTGTCTCCTAGATCTAGTTAAGTTAGCGTCAGTTGTCACGTCCCAGCGCCGAGAGTATGTCTAGTTATGTTCAGTGTTTTTCAAAAATTTTTAATTATTTATAACTGACTGTGTTAGCAGACAGCACCGTAATTCCTTTCCTATACATATAATAAAATATACCGCTTAAAATTATTTAAAAGTTTATACAAAATGGCCGCTCCTTATGGCACTACTACAGCCTTAATATTACTAGTAATTTTTCCCTAGAAAACTCACAATCAAAACAGAACATACTGAAATTACTTTTTCTGGACTGTTCAATAAAGTAGCAAAAAAAATAAAGCCTAATATCGCAACCTTACCTAAGCATTTCAATGTTAACAACAAAATCTTAACAAATCAAATATAACTTCGGAGACTAAGAAACTTTTGTATATCAAACTTTTACTTTTGTTCCATTTTAATAAATATAAAAGTCAATAACAAAATTAATAACAATAGAAAGGATGTGAATAGGGAATAAAAGTCATATACCATTGTAAGAGTAATGACAATATAACAAAATCCATTTATTCAACAGTTCACACACCCTTATTTTAAGGATAAATTTTGTTGTCCTCATATGGATATATTTTCCCTGTATAGATACATTCTCCATCGAAAATCCTTTCGAAAACATAAATACAGTTTGTGGCTACGATTCTTAATTCCCAAGATATAAACAAAATTAAAGTACATATACAAATATATACACATATATACGTACATATATACGTACATTATACCTAGTCTGGTCAAAAATTCTGTCCCTAAATTTAAATTCGAAAATTTTGAAAACGAATTGACATTTGATGGTTTGTTGTTTCTGTGTGACATAAATAAGCTTCGGTCTTCTAGAAAAATATCATTTGATGTTAATTATCCAAGCTGAAGATATGGAGTAGGGTGTGAAAGAAAATCGAATCGCGATTATAGCTCTACACAAGTGCAAAAAAAAGCCGGTCGAGATTTTCAATTTGTTGCGGTCGCTAGGAATTACTAAAAAATTCGTATACCGTACCATCAAAAGGTTCAGTAAAATGTCCTCTATCGATGATAAACCTAGAAGTGGCCGCCCGCGGGTTTCCAGGACGCCAGCGGCGATCAAAGCTGTTGCTGAGCGAATTCGAAAGAATCCCCTCCGTAAGCAGAAAATCTTGTCTAGAGAGATGAAGATTCCACCTAGGACCACGCATCATCAAACAAGACTTGAAGCTTGCCGCTTACCGACGAAGTACAGGACATCGCTTAACAGCAGCTTTACGCAACATAAAAGTGACCAGAGCGAAACAACTGTTTCTGAAGCACGCTAAGGGCGGGTACCGAAGAATCCTGTTTACCGATGAGAAAATTTTCACCGTAGAAGAGAAATACAACCGTCAAAATGACAGGGTCTACGCTCACAGCTCTCAAGAAGCTTTGCAGAAGATTGCTAAGGTGGAAAGAGGCCATCACCCGGCTTCTGTCATGGTTTGGTGGGGCGTGTCATACGAGGGAGTCACCGAGCTCCATTTTTGCCAACAAGGCGTAAAAACTAAGGCGGCAAATTACCAGAGTGACATTTTGAAGCCTGTTGTAAAGCCACTCACTCAAACATTGTTTTCCGATGAGCATTGGATATTCCAACAAGACTCCGCTCCAGCACACAAAGGCACGAACCACTCAACAGTGGCTAAAAGACAATTTACCGGAGTTTATCGCATGCGAAGATTGGCCCTCTGGAAGTCCCGACCTCAACCCCTTGGACTACCGACTCTGGACAGTTTTAGAGGAGAAGGCATGCTCGAAACCTCACCGTAATATCGAGTCGTTAAAGCGTGATTTGGTGGCAGCAGCGGCTTCGATACCTCTGGAAACGGTGCGTGCGGCGATAGACGAGTGGCTAAATCGATTGAATATGTGTGTGAAAGCAAAAGGTGATCACATTGAATAAATTGCATGTTTATCCAATAAATTAGGAAATAAAAAATAACATACAATGTATTTTATTCATTTTTGTTCGTTTTACTTCAAAATACGTACAATTTTAAGAGGGACATAATTTATGACAAGACTATGTACATTGCCTTATAAAATATAATTTTCTTTATAAAATTATGTAAATAATCACGATAGAAACATATTTTATCTCAGAAGGGAAATTCTACGATTTGAATTTTATTTAATGAAAATTATAAATAAATAAATTATTATATTAACAAATAATTATTATGAACGATTTAGACAGTCCACAGAAAATCCTGCAACTTACCTCATTACACATATCTATCTAACTCGTATCGTTTAGAAGATATTTAAACAATTATAAACTTACATACACTTATCTCAAAAATCCAAATCAATTCAGCAAGCAAATCTCCGTGTATAAACCAGTTTTCAACTTCTAGAAACTTTCATCCTAGGCATATTTATAATTGTTGCTTCTCTTTTATCATTAACTAATCCTATGGCTATGATAAAAATCCTGAATATTAATATGCATAGAAAGTTACCCTAATAATTTAACCAATCACAATCAGAGTCATTTTGTACCTGAAAATATTTAATAAATAATGTATTACAAATGTAAAAAGAGTCATACTGATATATTTTAGATATACTAATTATACGATGTAATTATTATTATTATAAAAATTGTAAAGTATATCTAAAACGATATTGCGAAGATTAATATTTAAAAGCTTAAATTCGAGCAAACTGTATGTTTGTTAATTATAAGAAAGGAATTATTATAACGAAGTATAACTCTTTGGAAACAAAAATAGGTTACCGTTAAATGTCAAGGCCGCCATAATACTTAGTCACAAGTGTGACTCATAGTCAGTTTGTAAGCAAAAGTAGGCCAACGTTAAATATCAAGGCTGCCATAATACTTAGTCACAAGTGACTCATGGTCAGTTTGTAAGCGAAAGTAGGCCAACGTTAAATGTTAAGGCCGCCACAATACTTACCATCACTGACTCATAACAAATAGAAAACTATGTCAAGAATAACTAGAAAATCTTAAACGCATGAATCATAGCTGATTCATAGTAACAGTAGGCAAACTGTGCCAAGGCCATTTGGTAACAGGCTTTATTCAAACCTGTAAAATCATAACGTTGGAATTTAGGTCACCCCTATTTCCATGTTTTGGCAACATATAAAAACCTCAAACAACAATACCTTTGCACACTTGCACTTGCTCAGGAATTAATCACTTGATCAGCATCGCTTAGCAACTGAGCAACTTGCCGTTTACAAACAATGTAATTCTTAATCGCATGTCGCATTCCATAAATAAATTCCATAATTGAATTAGTGTACATATAACATTTGCAACAGTGAATAAATCCCGATTCAAATACCACAAGTGTGACATTATATTATTCCTTATTCCCAAAATTGAAAACTCTTTCCTGAAAATAAAAGTCACTTCGACATTCCTGTTACCCACTTCCTTCGCAGCATCTAAACCTGAGGTTTTAGCCTCTTAACCGCATGGAAAAGAATCCCACAAATAACGTGTGAGTGTAGATCGAGGATCTGCTGATTTTGGCTCCATCCGACCTCCCAGGACGTCACAGAAGCTGACGAGCATCAACATAGATTTGCCTCAGCCGCAGCAACCAGAAGTCCTAGCAGCCCCAATTCCGAGTACATAGAGATGGGACCGCAATCAACCTGCCAACGTCAACGTGCCAACTGAGAGATATGACGTAACTACACAGATCGAAGAGGCATCAAGAAGAACCTACGACGATTTGGAACGCTTCGCAACGAACGTCCCATAAGTGAAAAAGGCATACCGATACCCCAGAGTTCTCTCCCACTTGGATGATCGACTCGGATTTTCGTGCCGCTGTATTATCGCGATTATCTAAATTTAAATTCAATGCCCGTTTATAAATTTTATTGTTTGTCATAGTATGTACAGATTTCTGAGAACGTAATATTGTATGCAAATTGTGCTACGTCTGAGCTCACTTTTTGCCAAACCGCCAGCGTGCGCTATAGCGACATTTGCATGCCATTTCGCGAACATTACAAAATACTACGTTACATTGCGGGCGCTGTTACAAGTTATTGCGAGTCAGACGCGCAATCGATTGTTTTCATTGTAGGCGACATGTAATAGAAGTGAAGGTTGTATTGATCACCTAGAATATACTTTGTTGTGCGAGGTAACTATGCCACGAGACTTATTTTAGTTCCCGCCGTGGAGATATATTCATATCCTCAAATTTTGTTTTTCTTAATAAATATAAAAGTTAATAATAAAAATTAATAATAACAATAGGAAAGATATTGATAAAGAATGAAAGTTATATATATCATTGTAAAAGTAATAACAAATTCATGAAAAGACATCTACTCGATGACTGTCCATTTCCTAAAACAAGAAGATAAAGAATTTTAGTTTAACAATTAACAAAGGGTAATAATATTTTTGTATAATTCCGTGCAATCAAACGCTTTTATTTTGTTTTCAAAATAATCCATTATAAAAATTCGAAGGAAATGACACCCGTTTTAACAAAATTATAAACAAATAAATTATTATATAGACAATTGAATATTATGAAATATTTGGACACTACACTGGAAATCCTGTAACTTATTTCATACATACTTAATTCTTATCGTTTCAAAGATATATCCATAATTGAGAATTTGCTTACACTCACCTATACACTCATCTCGAAGAGTCAAATCAGCTTATCGAATAAATTCTAGTCTACAAACTGGTTCAACTTCTAAAAATCTTCATCTTTGCCCATAATTGTTTCTATTGTTAACACCAAATTTATGGCTATGACAAAAATCCTAAATACCAGTATGCATGGAAATTAACCCTAATAATTTAAATAATCGCAATCGGAATTATTTTACAGCCTTCAGTAAATAATGAATTACAGATGTAAAAAGAGTTATACTGATATCTTTTAGATACTAATCATTTGAGATGTAACCGATATTATAATTATTGTTGTAAAGTACATCTAAAAGCAACATCATAGTAATAAATATTTAAAATATTGTTGTGCCCCGGATGGGCTACAACGTTAATTTTTAGAGATAGTCGGGTTCGTTAAGCCTAAGGAGTTGGGACTCCGAGCAGGATCAAACGAATGGAAGGAAATCTTGAAATCACTAACACACTTTCTTTAGGATACTTGATTTATTTAACAACTGCACAATTTCTTAGATTTAATTATTGCTTTTATTATTTCTTTCACACACGGTTAAACGTCGGCGGGCGCGTATCGCATTACTCTGGCGGCCGTCGACCGAGTATGTCACCTGAGACGATGATAGTACGGCTCGCGTGAACTTCGCTGTGCTCGTGTAATATCTTGCGCGATAATTATAATGACGATTCCGAACGACACGTAATGTTTGATTGATTCCCGACTCTGACTATTCCGCCTTGTATAGCTGGTTATATTAGTTTGATCGATGCCCGGTCAGCATTCCGATCGATTGCGTCGATCGGTTGCGTGATATTTGATCAATCAATATCACGCTCGATTTGATCATCAAATTTAGGAATTTGTTGATTCAGCTTTTTCGCAATGTTCTCGCGATGCATTTCTTCGGTCTTTCGAAAGACTGGTCGCGATTTCGGCGATCACACATTTGTGTCATCTTTCGAAAGACTTTTCGAGGCTCGTGCAACCTAATTTTGTTGCCATGCGGACTACTTTTATTATTGGTTGTAGGCCTGGCTACAACATCCCCCCCTGTTATTAAAAGAAAACGGAGGTACGAAGTTTTCGCTTTTTACATAATTTTTGTTTTTCCCGATACATTTTTTGTTATAATCGTTTATTTAGAATCACATGCTTTTGCTTATTCTAACGGCGCGATTTACATTGCGTGCGTTATTGTTTCGTTTTGTTTTTCTTCCTTAATACAATTATTATTGTTGCGATAACGATGACTATTATTAATGAGCTGCTAATTGATACTGGATATACAAAGTGTTTTTGTTGAAGAAGGGTGTCTCGTTATTGTTTATTTCGTTTTACATGTCGTTTAATTTTTTGTTAATTCTG